TTTAAAATGCAGTTTTAGTTAAGTTAGCTGGATAATGTTCTGTGCGTAATGTACTTAACACATACATGAAAACACCAGGATAAGTGTCATAAACTTTTGTGCCAAAAAATCAATTGGCATTCAATTTATATACACTTTTTGTGGTAATATTTTTGTATACTTTTGTTAGTTTTGAAAACTTTTGTAATTTGTTTTGAAGTTTAATTATTTAAATATAATTATAACAATATTTGTAATTATTTACAGTTTATAACTAGTTATATTGCGTGCCTGGGTGATTTTGTACCACAATATGTTGATTTTTATTTATGTTTTACTTATTGTTTGAGTTTTATCACGATTACGATAGATATTTATTCACAACAAAATTTATACTAAGTTACCCTAAATCTATTGTAATCTCTAAATTGATATGCAGTTAATCAAGCTCGTTTATTAGCATATGTTTTAAGTTTGTACTGTATCTATTAATATGCCAAATAATCCTGCTTATAATGTTGTGGGTAGACTAATTATATTGAATACAACCTTGCCTATTTAGAAATATTTGTTTTGTAATAGGGAACTGGATTACATAAAATTTAATAAAATATTTTATAATTGCTCAACATATTATATGACACATTAATCGCAAGTTATCAATCAGCAAACACAATAAATGTTATGCAAACTTTTAATTGTTTCAACAAGTAAATAATGATTGTGTTTTTGTAATGTATATTTGCCAGTAATAGTGTAGTATTATTACTTAATATAGTTATTAGCGTACATTTGTATTTGTACTTGATGCTTTCACATTTGTAATTATGATTTTGAAATTATATTTGAATGCCATTAATAATTGTGTTTGATTTGGTCAGTGATCTGCTAATATCAACGCCCAATGTATGTGCCGATTGTGATCGCCATAGTGTTCCTATCGTGTTGTGTGAATGTCATATTTCTTGAGGCCATTATCAGGTTCATTTGAATGTGATTTTAATTTTACATATAAAACGCTAACACTTTCCGTTGTACTAAACGACAGGCAATCCCCCGGAAGTGGAAATCTCATCACATTTTCTCAGTTTCTGTTCATCGCTGTCGAGGGCTTTATATTCACCACTCGGTGCGGCCAACAAAAGCCGGTCATACCTCTCAAGTGATTACTTATTTTTATATTACATTAGAATTTGGTGTTAAATAATTGTTTTAAATACTTGTCGTGTGTATAGGAAATACATCTCATTAGTGATATTCTTCTTTCTGGTCAATGTGTCCAACAATTATGCCCTCAATTTCAATATATCCGTTCCCTTGCACATCATATTCCGATCCGTATGTCTAGTATTTTGTAGTATTTTGCCATTTTTGTGTAGTTTTTAGATTTTAATTGTTTTGATTGTCAAAAAGGGATCGCTTATGGCCAACATGTTGTTGGGAATACTGATACTGAAGCGCCAGTACTCCACCACTAAATACACGTCCGTCGCGTTGATCACTGTCGGCATAATAATGGCTACGTTGGCCTCATCCCAGCCCTCAGTGCAGCCTAAACTCAATAAACCAATTGATGTCCACAATAGTAGTCATCGATTGCCGGTCAGAGAATATTCTGTATACGACTACACGATAGGCATATCTCTGTTGACGTTTGCGCTGCTAATGTCGGCCCGTTTGGGCATATTTCAAGAGGTGTTGTTCACTACGTATGGCAAACACCCTAAGGAAGCCGTCTTTTATCAAGTAATCTATGCTTTAATTGCTATTACGGTAGTAGTTG